TATTATCATTCCGTCGACTTTCCTAAATGCTGTGCATCAGGATATACGAATAATAGTTTTGTCCGCTGTTTAGTATGGGTGTGAAACGAGATCTTCTGTAGTAAGGGAAGAACGTTAATTACAGGCGTTTGAAAATAGTGTTCCGGAAGATATAAAAGGCAGTTAAGCACCACGCCATCAAGGCGTATGGGAAAATGGAAGTATAGCCCCGTACATTCCTAACCTCGGCACTATATTGAAAAGAGTGACCAGCTTCACGCCAAGGTCCCTTTACCCCCGGGGTTCGATGCAGACGGTTAAAGTAGGTGGGGCGTTTTGGGTATTGCACCACGACTAAGGAGCAAGGATATCTCAGTAGGTATAGTGACTGGGCTACAGAATGGAGCACCAAAGATTCTGGGTTCAATTTCCGACAAGAACAAGAGGGTCGTCTCGTCACAGCATCCGGTCCCCTTTCCAATGGTTACTGGGGCCGTTTCCCCCGGCATAAAGTGAACAGAGCGTGATGCTGACCACTCATCTCCATTTAGTGCCGACATTAAGAATGAGTGGAGCTATACTTCCACTTTCCCATATGCCTTCATAGCATGGTGCTCAATTAAGCATAGGGACAGATTTACCTTTAGCTTTCATGTAATGACCAACTTTATAATTTGCATGCGTTACCGAATGAGAGGACAGTAAAATCTGGGAGCCTGAGACGGCCTGATAATGAGGGTAGGTGGGAGAGTCAAGGAAAGGGATGGGAGTATCTTAGGAAATACGTTGTAGAGAATGGAACTAGTGAAACTGGCTCTGGATCGTGTCCAGTGGCGGGCTTTGGTATTTGCAGTATTTAACCTTATGGCTGCGCTTCCAGTTTAACCGTTTACGTCGTCTTTTGTTTCCATCAAAAACGAAGGGAATATTCAGAAATAGAGCCGCACAAAGCCCCTGACAAACACAGAAGAGACCTCCAGCAGCATTACATTTCGCGCGATAAGTTTGACAGCATTTTTTGCTTGTAAGGTTGGGCCATAGTAATTTGGCCCTTGCATCGCGACCATCACTGATCTATTGTGCTTCTCTGAGTACTTAAACCAAGTAAAATTTAAATATTGATTAATTAAAAATTATATGTCTCTTTTTCTTGTTCTTCTTGTGCCTCCAATAATGAATTTAAAAGTAAGTTCTGAAAAATATACTTGCGCCTGCAGAGATCCAAAGTTGTAATTTCTACGCACTTCAGCAACAAGACATCATGTATATGTGGAATCTTCTTGCTGCGTATATGTAACGGGGCTAAAAATGCTTGTTCATCTCTCTGTAATTTAAGATCTGAAGCCAGTTTCGCATATCTCCCATCTCATTCTAGGTCTCTTTAGTTAGTTAGTTAGTTAGTTATTGGAGAGGGTGGGTTTCCCCATGCACTGAGACCTGTAGTGGTCCATTGTGCTTCCCTCTATGATTTCTACCAGTCTCTATGTCCTACCGGTACTGGTGCTTACCATCGGTCCCACCCAGCCAGCGAGACCGGCTCTACTAACTGAGAGGTATCTGTAATGCTTCCCCCATCTACCAGAGGTATTAGATACTGCTGTTGGGCGGGAAACGTCCGTAATTTGGCTCAGTGACCTCCTTTGGAGATATGAGGTTCTTTTACGTGCCGTAAAGCTACGACACGGGACCCACGGCTTAAAGTCCCTCCCGGAGGATTTGTTCCCTGAATTTTTCCGCCCTTAAAAATTCGACGACCTCCGCCGGTTATTTGAACCCGCGTACTACGAGTCATGAGGTGGGAACGTTACCTTTAGACTAGGAGGCCGCTTTAGGTCTCTTTAAGTATACGTCTTAAAAGATTTTTAGTTCAGCATTCATTCTTTGTCTCATCTATCCTAGCCACACATCCACCTTTTCATAGCCTCTTTGTCTTCTCTGTCTTAACAGCATTAGGTGGCCTGTTTTGACCTAAGCCACCAAGTTCTTCTTTGTGTAATATTCCGTATTGCTTTCTAACTTCTTCCTTAGGTCCAAATAGTTTCTTGAAAACTGTGTTTTCAACGCTAGTAATGTATGTTCTTCCTTCAAGGTAAGAGGCCAGGTGAGTGTCAACTCACGCCATAGAGCAGAGTCATTTTCAGGAGCTAATATTCACTCAACTGTCAAGAAATTCCTTGCCTTTTATGGTAGAAGCCCGAAGTTTCATTACCACACCCTCGTATGCTGCTTGTATAAGATCCACTTTGATATTATCCTCTCATCTGTTAATAAGATATTCATTGCAAACTCAGGTGCAATTGTGGAGTCAGAACAAAGAGGAGCAATTTAAGTTTCCTTCGATCGTCTTACTGGATTGTCTATTGTTTTCATATGTTTCTTTCCGCAGTTTAAATCTATGTTGGCCGATAAGGGATTCGTAGGAAACGAGTATATTAGCACTACTGTTTTAATTTTGCTGTATTCTTCGACACTCTTCATATCCACAGCTCTGAGTACTGACTGCCACATAGCTTGTATCTGCAAGTCATTCACACAAGAAGTCGTTACTGTCTTAGCTATTCCTAAAACGTTTCTTTGTAAACTAATTTTTAAATTACTGACTCAATTTTTTTAGGCATATGATCATTAAATCTTTATATTGAAAACGATGACTTGAGTACCTGCATCACTGAATGCTTTGGCTTCGAACAGGATTATGTACGAAGGGGGACCCAAAAATAACCGGAAACGACCTGTTGCGCGCGCATGCTTTGTAGTTACGAGTTGTGCTGCTAGGTGGTGTTAGCTGGGGGTCTCCCGCGACTGCTAGTGAGCTGGCGCCAGTCTGAGTTAGTGGTTTGTCTGTGGTGCTCTGTTGTGTGCGTTCCTGTTTCAACCCTTTGGCGATTAGTGAGATGGCCGACCAGAAGGAACAAAGAGTGTGCGTGAAATTCTGGATCGTTCTGCACTTCACTCTTCAAGTCACGGCAAACTTTCACGCGGTTTTCTCTTTGGTCATCTCCGAGCAAGCGAGGAACAAACTTTGCAGACACCCGTCTCATGTGCAAACCTTCGGTTAAAATTCGCTGGACCGTGCTCCATGAGATGTTCGTTTCCTCAGAAAGTTGGTCAATGGTCTTTCGACGATCTTCATCAATTTCACGCACACTCTTTGTTCCTTCTGGTCGGCCATCTCACTAATAGCCAAAGGGTTGAAACAGGAACGCACACAACAGAGCACCACAGACAAACCACTTAACTCAGACTGACGCCAGCTCACTAACAGTCGCGGGAGACCCTCAGCTAACACCACCTAGCAGCACAACTCGTAACTACAAAGCATGCGCGCGCAACAGGTCGTTTCCGGTTATTTTTGGGTCCCCCCTCGTATTTGGTGAAGCCGGAAGAGTGGAGTGCCCTGTTGCCTCGATCCCTCGATTACAATATCTTACCGTTTAAAAGATTTAGGAGTAATAGCCATTGTCTTTGTTGGGGAAATCAGAACCTAACATGCTTGCCTTGAGATCAGACACTGAGTTGTTTACGCTTAACACTCTACAGTAGTTTTAATTAAATTGTACATATATATAGCAGCTGCATTCCAATAAAACATTTAAGAAGAATGAACAACCAACTTGTTAAAAAGTGTAAGATTTGAGGCTTTCACGGCGGTGACTATGAAGAAAGCAGTCTTCTGGGATTTGGCACCGTGTATATGTGGTGTTAACCGACGTTTCGGATGAACGTATCGCCTCCATCTTCAGGGTAGAAGAAAAAATATAAGAAATCTGGAAGCGAAGAGACCGTGGGAACCGGTAAAAGTTCCCAGAAGACTGCTTTCTTCATTGTTAAAAAGTCTCCGAAAGTGAATATGGCGATTGTAGAACAATCTTATCGTATGAGTGGCATTTTAAAATCAGAATTCTAGCGTTCTAAATGGGTATGACCGAAATACGAGTAAAATTGTGTTTACACTCAGTTTGCGGTCTACGTGTATGCGAAATGGATACAAACGTGGACATGGAAGGCATTGGGTTTCATTCGGCGGTTCTAACAAGTTCCGAAATTCTAAACGATGTGTTATTGAGTATGAGTATGAAGGGTGGGCCATAAAATCCGGCCCTTGCACTGCGACCTTCAATGGTCTATTGTGCTTCCCTTTTGGATTAACCCTTTATTAATCCTACACTTCGAACGAAATGTAGGACTTTATTTATGGGGGCGTCATAAAAGTCACTTGGTTCCGTGAGGAACTGACCTAGGTGACGAAATCTTAAGTAAGCTATGGCCTCACAATCACATAGGTTGTGTGTGGCTGATTCGTCTTCTTGTAGGCACCTGTCACACGTTGGGTCATCTGTCAGTCCCAGTTGGAAAAGGTGCCCTTTTAGGTGGCAGTGTCCAGTAAGTAATCCTACCACCCATCTTAATTGAACGTTATGTTATTAGTCTACAGTTAATACATTGTGAGCGGGATACCGCAGCCGGTATAGCGACTGGCTACCGGCTGGACGACCAAGGGGTCGGAGTTGGAATCCTGGTCGGGCAAGAATTTTCACTTCTCCGTATCGTCCAGACCGGCTCTGGGGCTCACCCAGCTTCATATCTAATGAGTACCGGGTGCCCTTTCCCCGGAGGTAAAGTGGCCGGAGCGTAAAGCTGACCACTCACCTTCAACTAGTGCCGAGGTCAAGAAAACGTGGGTCTATACATCCACTCCCCCTTACGTCTTCACGGCATAGTGCTTAATTAGTTAAGCTCAGGGATAACTTTACCTTTTTCTTACAGTTAAAACACGTAATCATAAAATTCTCCCCAGTTTTACCTTTATATTATATTTGTTTCTTTGTTTGCTTCCTAACCGCTTGTTATTTTACTGTAATGAACATACGAGTATATATCACAAGCACCATGTTCGAAGAACCTCCTCGTCTGGAGTCTAGTAAGCCAACATTGTACTCGTATCTCTGTCCGGCATTTGCTCACATAAACTTTGTGGGAGAAATGTTTATGGTGCTTAATCCATATGTTTATTGTTGCAGGGGAGGGCCAAGCTGACTTGGAGACTGTACCTGGTGCAACGGACCTTCACCACCAGCAGGCATCTGCAGCCGCAGGGTCCGCCGCTCTGGCTTCAGCCAAGCCTCGGGGAAAGCGTCGTGGCGCTACAGTTTCGAGGGACAACGGTGCCACAGGCGCAATGAACGGCTCCACCAGCACAGCCGATCACCAAAATAATAATAATAACAACCCTCCCGTGAAAACCGAAAGGCTGAGCCCCTCCACAACCACGTCTTCTACTACTGCGACCACCACGACCACTGTGACATGTGGCGGGACGGTCAGTGCGACCTCTAACACACCCGATAACAATAGTTCGTCTTCCAGAAGTGCGACTCCTTCCTCATCTTACCCCGGGACTCCTCCTGGGTCCCTGACTGCCGAGAGAGCGTCAAGCCCGTCTTCATCTCCCGCGGGGCAGCTCAGACATGTGGACCAGATGGTAGTGAACCGAAATTACAGCGACTTCATGCGCAGCCTTGCCGCCAAGTACAACAACGCCAACCCGAACGAGTAAGTATCCGGCGAGGAAGGCGTGCTGTTAGAGCTAAATTCTGTCATTGTTAACATTACAGATGAGGGTAGTATTTTTAATGCATACCTCTGCAACAATGTTTATTTGAACTACGATTGGTGTTAGAACAGGTACTAAGCTGAATCTGGAGTGGTTCCAACTCTATTTTCTTATATCCATTCTTAGGTGTTGTGACTCAAAATATTAATTGCATGTACTAAGGACCAAAACATGTAAATGTCCATGTATAGATTTATCTGTTTTATTTAATATTAGCGATTACAGCACACACTCTCTGCACTGTGTGTGAGAAATTGAAATTTAATAAGGGGCCGTGTTAGCATCTTCCTCACCACCACCACCATCATCATCATCATCATCATTAATGTAATTCTTTCATGCTGCCGCGGGCAACTTCCGACCACGGGGCGTAGTTTCCTTTTCGTGGAACATGTTGGGCATTGTGCATTACACACAGGTACGTGTGTGTATATAAATTATCCCTAGGGTTGTGAGACGTAGAGGCTCTCACATTTTCTAGACAGTTGGCTCACAGATGGCTGTGAGGTTGTCCACCTTACACGGTGCCCGCCCATTAACCCCCCTTCAGGAAGATTCCTGGTACTCATTTCTGTTAGAGGCTGAGTCGACCAAAGGGACATGGTGCGGCTGGAAGGATTAGGTCAATTGAAAAATTCAATGATTTTATTAGGAATCGAACCCGCAATCTTCCGGCTTGTAGCATAGTGCCTCAACCAACTACGCTACCGCGATTATTTATATATATGTATAATCGTATACAAAAAGGTAACTTTGTCTCTGTGCCTAACTAAGCAAGCACTACGCCATGAAGGTGTATGGGGGAGTGGATTTGTAGATCCACGTTTTCTTGACCTCGGCACTAGTTGGAGGTGAGTGGTCAGCTTCACGCCCCAGCCGCTTTATCAACTGGTAAAGAGCCCCCGGTACCAATTGAATAGGAGGTTGGGTGGACCCCAGAGCTGGTCTGGAAGACGTGGAGAAGAGAAACTTCTTGACTCTACCGGGACTCGAACTCTGAGACTTCGGTCGTCCAACCTTTAGCCAGTAGCTATACCGACTGCGCTATCCCGACTCCAATATATATACGGTGTGTGTGTGTGTGTGCGCGCGCGCGCGTCTATACCAGTTCATCCTACCGTCCAAACCCAAGGCCCTTTGTGATATTTCGTAGAAAATTATTTTTGACGATGAGGAGTTGTGAACCCCAGGAGTAACCCACCCTTTCTCGGATGACCGAGACTTCTTTTTCAATATATTCGTAGCTACCCTCCATACCTAGAGGTCATCTCCTTATCCGCAACCTGAGGACGCGCCGTACCGCGATGACAAGGAACCCACGTAACATGACATTCACGCATGCGCTTATACAAAGTCCCCACTCGAGGACCAAGTCTGTAGTGTCGTTAAGAGGCCATGCAGAATCTTTACAAGGTGTAGAAATGTGCACCTGCATCGCGTCCTCAGGTTGTGGGTGGAGTAGACGGCCTCCGACAATGTGACATGTTTAATAACCAGTCTCGCTAAGCAGAAAAGGAGTTGTCCTCCAGCATGATATTTGGGCGGGGCGAATAACACCCTCCACCTTAAGAAATATATCATATTATGAGTATACTAGGCATAACCTACCCAATGAAAAGAGGACACAACAGTTGAAACTTGCCACGTCAGCAGTCGCAGTAGATCAGGTTTACTGACATCAGTAACACAAGACCTAAAAAGTTAAAGTTATCCCTGCAACAGGCCGTGGAAGTCCGTAGGGTTGTTAGACGTCGAGGTTCCCACATTTTTTAGACAGTCAGCCCAAAGATGTCGGTGAGGTTCTCAGCCTTACGCGCCGGCCGCCCTTTACTCCCAAGAGGATTCCGGGTACTCATTTCTGTTAGCGGTTGAGTCGACCCCCAGGGACACAGGGCGGCTTGAAGGATTAGGTTAATTGAAAAATCAAATGATCTCATCGGGAATTAAACGCGCCACCTCCCGGCTTCTAGCATAGTGCCTCAACCAACTACGCTACCGCGTGCCGCCAACACAAGAGATAGCTAAGTAAAATTTACATTTAGTGGAGTTCAGGATGTAGGGCAGGCATGTCAAACTCAACTTGTACAGAGGGCCACCTCAGCCCTATAAATAATAGTCCAGGGCCACACTTCAAAATAGAAATACACATTAGATTTTGATACAAGGAAATTTAATTCTATTTATTATTTAGGAATAATTTCAGTATAATTACCTAAATTCACATAGCCTATCTTACAGTTTTAAAAAGCAAGAGAATGCCATTTTTGACAAGTATTAAACAGATTTTCAATATGTAAAGAGAGAGATTACACAAGAAATTATGTTAGAAATAGCAACACATTTAATTGCCTGCAGCCTGATAATTTATGTCTGCGTGAGACTTCTTGTCTTCTGGTCTGTTGGAAAACTGTCTTTACAAAACATATTTCTGTCAACATTTTAATATTGATTTTAATATCAATTAGATCTAAAAGTTGAGGGGCCGCACTTTGTGGCTATGGGGGCCGCATGTTTGACACGGCTGATGTAGGGTATAGTTATGTATTTTTGTATTGAAAGTGGAATGCTAATGTTCACTTAGGGGTTTCGTAAGTCGGGGGAAAAATGGCCTACTGTTAAGAGAGCTGAAATTTTTTGGTCACAGAATAATATATATATAATATTAAAATATCTTCATACTTACATCAGTTTTCTGAGTGTATTTTAAAAGACTGTGGCATCAGGTTATGGAATGAATTCAGCTGGTTCAGTAAAGATCCTGTGACGGGTTCTTATGAACACGGGCATGAATCCTTAACTGCTCATAAAGATGGGAAATGTCCTGAGATCTACCGGCTTCTCATGAATTTCTGTTTCCAACGGAGTCAGTAATTTAACAAGTCGATGAAAAGTCAGTTTCATAATGGAATGTAGAATTGCACTATATATTGCAGGGGATTATTATGAACGTGGTACTCTATCGTATAGATCTGCACAGCTGCAAGACATTAAAAGGTAAAAAAGTTGAAGTTGTCCCTGCGCTTAACAAAGTAAGCACTACATCATGAAGGTGTATAGGGAAGTGTATGTATAGATCCACGTTTTCTTAACCTCGGCACTNCTTTACTCTGAACCCTCGGTTGTCCAGCCAGTAGCCAGTCGCTCTACCGGCTTTGGTGCCCCGGCTCACTGCTGCAAGACAGTATCGCTGTATATGATTTCCTTATAACGGAAATGAATTGAAAGAGACGGAGGCGTAATGCTTTTACGAAATGGAGTTGCAGGCCTTGCAGTCGCTCATATTGTGTACCCTGCCGTAAGGTGCGCGTGAAGTTCACGAAACAGAGGAGTATTTTTTTTTAATTCGCTTAGTTGGGGTGTTGAGTCCAGTTGGGTCCACTCGGCACGGCGGCCACTGATTGGCCTATTGTAGCCTGCCCCAGGTGAGGGTGATTGTGGAGCAATTGGTGGAATGAAGATTGGCAGGGGAAACTGAAGTACTCGGAGAAAACCCACCCCACCGCCACTTTGTCCACCACAAATCCCACTTGACCAGACCCGGGATCGAACCCGGGCCGCCGCGGTAGGAAGCCAACGACTAACGGCTTGAGCTATGGCGCGGCCTAACAAAGGATAAGCTGTGCTCTAATGTTAGGAGAAATTTCTTCCTAGTAAGGAACGCGGTATATTTGAGAGCCACCACTACTCATCTTCACTTCCCATTGGATGCGACAGATGGACAGGATATGCAACTCTCATGAAAGAGAAACTAATAAAGAGTTTCACAAATTAAGAAACCTCTTCCGAAAACTAAGCATAGATGAGAGATAATATTAAACTGAATCTTAAGGTAATAATTTAAGAGTTTTGGTGATGGATTCAGCTGTGTCAGCGTAGGATGTAGTAATTGGATGTTATAGATACTATAATTGACAGTGTTCCATAGGAAAGAGGGGACAGTTCTTGACCATTTTAGCTACTTTCTGCTTCCCAAATGTGGGTGGAAGTGCTCGTGGCCTGATGTAAGTTATTCTTGCGGCATTTCCCGCCTCTTTCCAAAAACAGAGATACCCTGTATGCGACCAGAAGACGAGGAAACAGACGTAAGAAGATGCTGGATGGCCTTGGGGACAGAAGAGGATATCTTTATTTCAAGGAGAAGGCTCTATATCGCATCAAGTGGAGGAAATATTTTGGGTGAGACTGTGGACCTGTCGTATGACAGATTACTGATGAATGAAAAAAAAAAGGACCGAGGAAAATCAAGCGGATGCATTTTTATTATTTAAAAAGTCAAATGTTTAACATAAATATGAATTTAAAATACACGCTTCATCCGATTTAGATCAAAATATTTTCTCACCGCCTTTATATCAGAAACTTATACTTCCCTCGAAGTGACTCCATTTCACACCCACCCGAAGAATAAGCGAAATTGTTGGTTTATATGTAACGTAATCTTCAGCAATTTTGAAAGTAGATAGAGTGGTAAGTTTTTGAAGCTGAATAATAAATAGAATTTAAACAATTTGATCGTTCCTTAATTTTGTCACTAGCCCGTTTTCTTCTGTTCAGCTGTTATCAAGAATTTTGAAATATTATAAAGTGATCTACTGTATATACACGTATTCAGCGTGTCTTCTTTGATAGCTCGGTCAGTATAGTGACGAGCTACGGGCTGGATTGGACACCCAACAGGGGAAAGATATTTTTCTCTTCCTCACAGCGTCCACACCGGGCCACCCAGCATCTATATAGTGGGAATCGGGAGCCATTTCACCGGGGGTAAAGCGTCGGGGGGGCGTGAAGATGACCACTCATCTCTATCCGGTGTTGAGATCAAAAATGAGGGAGCTATACGCTCGCTCTCCACACGTCTTCATGATGTAGTGCTTAAGTAATTAAGCACAGACACAACTTCACCGTTTAACTACATGCTTCTATCTTCTGTTTAGGATACTACATATGAAGTTAACTGAAAGCTGAATGTGAGAATTGTTGCTCTATTTTTATTGCTAGTGGGGTGGGACTAGGTTCCTGTACTGCCGCCACTTCTGGCCTATTGTACCAGCCCCAGATGATAGGTGAGGCTGATTGTGGAGCAATTGGTGGAATGAAGATTGGCAGGGGAAACCGAAGTACTCGGAGAAAACCTGCTCCAGCGCCATTTTGTCCACCACAAATCCCACTTGATCAGACCCGGGATCGAACCCGGGCCCCGCGGTGATTGTTTCTCTAAGTTATGGCTTTTGGTAGGCGTTTGTTCTGATTTTATGGCTTTCATTCATTCAGGCTTTGAGTACGTAAACTGTGAAACATCTTATTTTGTCACCTCTCTGTCTGCTTCCTTAATGGGATACTTGTGATGTTTGTTGCAGTTACTTCAGCTCACCTACCAGAAATGGTTTCCCTGTTAGTCTGGATCCTCGATTCACACCTTTCAAGACAGGCGCAACTCCTTTTGTGAGCCTGATGACACCGCTAGCAACTACGACGATGCCGTCTCCTGGTCAGCACAAGAATAACAATATGGCGGCTAGCAGTAATAATACGCCGACATCATCGGGCAACGCCATCAGTGGTACAACAGCAACTTCAAAGGACGGTGTTATAGACATGAATAATCTGAAGAAACCATCATCGTCCTCTGTAGAAGCGCAGCAAGCACTGTACGCTGCCGCTGCAGCAAATTTCGGTACAAACCCTTTCAACACGGCTGCGGGGAGCACAACCCCAATGTTCCCTCCCCTTATAGATATGAGCTCCACCCAGGCGCTCCTCAGCATGGTCCGAACTGCCAGTGCACATAACGCCTCACAACTTGAGACTTACCTGAAGGGTGCTATCAAGAGACCCCCACCGTCCGAAAGCAGCCCCCTCGACCTGTCTTCAGCGTCGACCCCTACACATGGGAAGAGATCACGGACTAACAAGGGTCTTAGTGGTGCTAGTGAGAATATATTCTTGAACAGTGACTCTTTACTTCACGTGCCGATGGTGGATGCGTTGAGGACTACGAAAGAGAGGCTCGGGAAAAGGACTGGAAGTGTGTCACCGAAACCTCCACTGAGGAATAACGGAGGCAGTTCTGCCGGAAGTAGCCCCAGGTTGTTACCATCATCCACAGTGACTTCGGCGTCCGTCGTGGCAAGTCAGCAACACCTTTTGGGAAGGAACTTGCCATGTTTATCCATGTGTACGGCGGACAGGACGTGCTCTTCGGGTGGCGATGCGCAAGCCATGGCACAGTGGAGTGTTGAAGACGTGTGCAGTTTCGTGGCATCTGTCGATATCTGCGCAGAGTACGCAACGGTAAGTGTGGACTTCAGACTTTCATGTTAGTTGTGTACTTCACAGTATTTCCTGCAGTTGTTGCCTATTCCACGAGTCACAGTCTAAACATCTACTAACACAGTTCGGGTAAAATGAACTCCGTGGTTTTAGTCTGCAAGCGAACTATATCGACAGAACGACCGGCCCAAGTCGGCGAAGATAGTGCCAACTCTAGCGGATAGAGGGTGTCACATGGAATCCCCACGGCCGTTAATTTCGGTTTTCTAGACTGGAGTCGCTACTTCCTTGAAATACTTCTGTATTTCAGCATCCTGTTTGCCAATCTTTAACCAAACGTCTATGTATTCACTGTCCGTCGATAATGCAGCAATTGTTTATTCACCATTTAACATTTAACACAACATGTTTCGGCCATAGATGGCCATCTTCAGGTATTTTAATGCGTCCAACTGTTACACTGTTCTGAAGTGCTCTAAAACCGCGCGTTGCAGTCAACTTAAATAACATAAATAATTACTTAAAAGTCATTAAAATTTTCTATTAAAATTTTTCGTAAAATCTTATTCCACTTCGTAAGGGGTGTGGTCCACTTGTTCAGAGTTATGTGTTTATTTCAGAAAATAAGCAACATGAAAATAAGCTCCTGAAATAAGCACATAACTCCAAACAAGTGAATGACACCCCTTACAAGGTGGAATAAGATTTTACGAAAAATTTTAATAGAAAATTTTAATAGATTTTAAGTAATTATTTATGTTATTTAAGTTTACTGCAACGCGGGATTTTAGCGCACTCCAGAACAGTGTAACAGTCGGACGCATTTAAAAACCTATGGCCGAAACATGTTGTGTTAAGTATTAAATGGTGAATAAACAATTGTTGCATTACTGACGGACTGTGGATACATAGACGTTTCCTTGAAATAGCTCCTCAGTTATCCTCAGGAGGCTGAGTGGACCCCGTTCCAGACCCACTACTTCTCAGAAAATCTGGTAGCGCCGGGAATCGAACCCGGACCTCTGGACCTGAAGCCAGGAACTCTGATCACTAGATCACACAGTTCGGGTAGCAAGCCAAATTATATTACAAATACAGACATAACACTTTTAAGACTTTATAACTTGAATTGAAGAATCGAAAAGTAAGTGATGCAAGCAGGAGAGTACGTCCACTGCTCAAGATGGAGGCATTAAATTCCTCTGAAACGTCGGTAAACAACTACCAGATTACACTCCGTCACGTTCCAGAAGATAATGCTGTTCTTAGGCACCAGGGTGAGATCCTCAGACCCCACATTATACATTCTGGTCTGTTTTTCAGTACAACACTCAAAGTAGTGCCATGTGCCTGAACAATTCAAGCTGTTTCACGTCACTGTCTGTATGACACACATCTCGGTTGCACCGTACTGACACCAACATATCATGTGACATAATCGTCTCTTTCTAGCCTGTTTTCGAAGTCCGGTAGGTTTGTTACGAAATGTGTTCCGTACACAGAATTTTTAACACACTTGAAGTACGCGTATTAACGTACTGAGTGTGGCAATGAAAGTAATGTAAACAAATTATGCAGTTTTATAAGTGCTAAACTACTCTTATGTTGCCCATATTTGTGTTTCGTTGAATAAAATGTTATATAATGTTTACGGTGAACAAAATTTATTAGTATTAATTTGGAGAATTAACTGTAGTGCTGGCCGCTGTCTGGTGGCCTGAGAAGGAAAATATTGCCAGTAGATAAGGGAACACATGAAAAATTTAATACGGAGACATCGAATCTCTAGCATGTAGACAACATGTGAGTTAAAGACTACTAAAAAAAAATTAAAGCCATCCCTGTACCAGTCCGTAAAGGCCCATAGGGTTGTGAGACGTTGAGGTTCCCACACTATCTAGACAATCGGCTCAAAAATGGCGGTAAGGTTGTCAGCCTTGCGCGCCGGCCGCGCTTTACTCCCCAGGAGAATAATTAATTCCTAGTACTCATTTCTGTTAGAGGTCGAGTCGACCCTAGGGCCATAGTGCGGCCGGAAGGATTAGGTCAATTAAAAAAATCAGATGACCTCATCGGGAAGTGAACCCGCGACCTTCCGGCTTGTAGCATAGTGCCTCAACCAACTACACTACCGAGGCCCCCAATTAAAGAACAGTATCAGGCTGAAATCTGGGAGAGATTTACAGCTTTGAATTACTTGGATGATAACGTGGAAATATCTGTAAAAGTACCACAGAACGTACCAGTTCTCAACCAAAGAGAGTCTTGGTTATTAAGAGTTACAGCAAATTTGCAGTGGTATGATCAACGCCCGAAACTGTTACATTAAAGGAAGCAGGCAAAATTGCAATTGTCACAGGATTAAACTAAAAGAATTAAAATAATCTGAAAAAAATGCGAGACATTGAACTCTTAAGGGTTTCAGGGAGGAAAAAGGGACGTATTTGAATGACAGTGTGGGTTGTTGGCAGACACTGAGGGTCAAGAAGAAGAAGAAGAACAGAGGGAAAGGAAAGAAGGCCCAGAATTGATGGGTGCTCTCATAAGGAGAGTATGTGCTGGCCCCGTGGATACTCCCGTCTCGAGAATCCTGTGTGGGAGGCTTCGTACCATTTCTCAGAGTGAAGATGGGAGGTTTCCATGACTTTATTAGGCAGGAGCCATCCTCCCTCTTCAGATTATCGGGACGGACCTCGATGTCAATGGCCTCCCGGGTGATCCGATCCATTTTTCTTAGAGGCAGCTCGTGCTATATAGATGCAGTGTCCCTAGGTGATGTGCTCACTTGTCCGAATGATCTAACCGGATATGCCGACGGTGCTGCATCCTGGTGTCGATCGAATGACCTGTCTGGGTAGCGTGTCCTCAGTCTTAAGTCATCCTTTACCGGCCGAAGAAGGCTACAGATTTTCTTCAGAGAGAGGCAAACCGATTAATTCTTCCGGGACTGTACTCTGTTAATGCGGCTGAAGCTAGATGGGACATGAGGCAAGAAATCGACGGCGTCCGGCTTGGCGTTGGGTGGAGGAACCCTCGTAGGATTGAGAGCCCTGCGAATTTTCGGGTCGCTGTAGTCTTTCTGCCTGAGAGAGACTTTCAGAAAATCCAGTTAATTACATAGGTTGTTCTTGTCGCAATGAGCTCTTGACCTTTGCATCAATATGTTCTGGAAGGAGAGGTGACGGCCTCCTTCCGTCTCCCAGGTGAACTGAATATCCTGTTGGCCGACGAAGTCCCTCAGCCTATCCAGCCCGTGGAGAGAGATGACGGATAATGCCGTCAATATAATTGAACCAAGGATATCAGGAGGAAACTGTAGGGCATGGAGCACAGTGACATCCCCAGTTCCTTGAAGCTGGCGTTCCAACCGTGCTGTTGGGCAATTTATTGCAGAACTTAGCCAGTTGTAGGACGAGTAAAACCTTTTGATTTTACAGGCAAACAAGAACCTGAAGGTGACGAGTCGCAGATCAAATGACGTAGTGCATGGAGCACAGTGACATCCCCAGTTCCTTGAAGCTGGCGTTCCATCCGTGCTGTTGGGCAATTTATTGCAGAACTTAGCCAGTCGTGGGACAAGTAAAGCCTTTTGATTTTACAGGCAAACAAGAACCTGAAGGTGACGAGTCGCAAATCAAATGACGAAATACGCCTAGGTGTTAATGTCAATAATAAATATCCATTTTCAGCTGTTAGAACGGCAAATAGGAATCATCAGGTCATGAAATTGTTGTACCTGTCTGTACCCATTGTTAGATTGATGTAACCTTTGTTTTTGACCGCTTTATTCTCTTTCCTGCCGAATGAATGCCCAGTCACATTAAACCTGTAGGAAATATGCACTTTGCATTTAAATGCCATTAATTTCAGTTTTGGGGGGCATGTCTTTTTAGTTATGTTTGAGTATTGTCACGTGTCCGGGGTTCGGTGACAAATAATTAATGGGTTGGGGGCTCAGACGAAGTTTTTTATTGGGCAATTCGTTTACAATTACAGTCACAATCACTCTGACATAACTTCTTCGAGGCGATGCGAGGTAGGTTCTTGGCGTACCGAATAGCAGACACGTTGTCGAATTGTTCAATTTCCTTGCTGTCATGCAAACGACTCTCGTTGTTATGGGAATACATGTTTACCTAGCCGTTTACTTGCAATGGACGCTGTTATACAACTGCCTCAAACAATTTGTTACCTAGGAATTAGTACCTATGACAGTAATCGTGGAAATTGTTGAAGATGCCAAAAAGGGAGCATCATGAATATAAAAGAAAACGTTTATATATCGCTTTAAGAAATTCAAAATTGATAGAAGAACAAAAACATACAAGGGAAAGTGATAACCAACATAACGTGTTCGACATCGTAATACATCAGTACACGCCCACACAAACGTCATAGACACAAGGGGTATAAATACACGGCTCAGCACACCCTAGAACGGTATAACAACACAGCGCAGCACGAACACCTACAGGACGACATTAGAGGTAGGACGAAATAACAAAAGCTCTCATAAAAACAAAATAGGTTTTGCTGAAATATTACAATATACCCAGAATCATCTTCTCAAAAACAACAGAACTACAAGGCTGTACAAGTTTGGCCCCCTTCAAGAGAAGACATAATAGAGAAGGACACGAACCTACTTGGTTTACAATTTCCAACAAAATATTTTTAACAAACTAACTGCAAATATTTTAACATATTAAGATAACTGCTGTAGTTGTTAAAACATTGGATTTTATACCCATTGTATTTTGTCAGCACTGTATGTATATATCTTGGCATTCAAACACATACTGTAATAGTGGCTTCTGCTTGTATTGATGTCCCTCTGAGGATGGTCCGAACTTTGTCAGCACTGTATGTATATATCTTGGCATTCATACACATACTGTAATAGTGGCTTCTGCTTGTATTGATGTCCCTCTGAGGATGGTCTGTAAGGACCGAAACATGTAAGGGTTGAAGGATTGAAATAAGAAAAATCTTTACTAGTCACAGTGGACAGTGTGCCGCGG